ATCAGAGCCTACCAGGCAGCGAGAGTCTCATTGAGAACACTTTGCATTGCTTATGATGTGAATTCCGCTCACTGATAGTCAGAGATCATGTGATCAGGGCCGGATTTTTCTCTTAAATTTAATAATTGTTTTAAATTTATTTTTACACTTAACTTTATTGCTATCACACAGGAGCTAACAAGCCCCCCGTGTGATTACATTTGGAGGTGACGGGTTCTCTTTATTGAATGGACGTTCTCTGCTCTGCAGCCCGCTCTCCATCCTGAACTACCTTGCCGTAGTCCCAGGTCCCCCAAAATAGCGGGGGACCACGAAAACCACGGGGAGAGGGAGGCGGCCAGCGGGGAGAGGCATATGGAGGTGGGGGCGGACCATGGAGAGGGGGCGGCGGCGGAAGATGGATGAGCAGGCTAATTGCAAGGGATCTTGGATCACTTGTACAAAAGGAGCTGCAGCTTCCGCGCTCTACATTTAGCCCTGCTGCTTGGCTGAAGCCGGACTAAATGTAGAAAAACAACTACCCGCCCGGTGCCCAAAACTGCATGTCCCCGATGTCGGGCGATAGTAATTCCACACCCCTGCTGCCCCTCTACTCCCTGATGCCCCTCTACTCCCTGCTGCCCCGAGGCCGGGCCTTGGTGGCCTTGTGGGAAATCCGGCCCTGCATGTGATCTAGGTTGCCGAGGATTGATGTCAGACAAGGTTACATTTTTGTTATTATTTGCCAAAAAAGCGATTCAATCATCTCTCTATTTATAAACACATCCAAGCAGAGCAAGTGCCTGAATTTGTGGCTGGTATCCTGCAGTCCATGTACAGCAGAGCTCAGACTGGGAGCGAAAGAAGCAGCACAAGGAGCCATTCAGTTGTGTTGCAGTTCAAGAAGCATGCTGAGAGACGGAGAGTGCAGAGAGACAGAGAGATGAGCTCATCAGTCTGCTGCTTCTCCTTTCATTATCTAATCACAGGCTGGGGGGAGGGACAAGACCTGTAAGTGTTACTGAACTGCAGCAGACAAAAAAACAGGTCCCCTGCCCTGCCAGGCATGGCTGTGCTGTGCGGCAGAGCTGTGCACATCTCAGGACTGGAAAGACAATACACAGTGGAACTATAAATCCTTTGTTTGGTCAGAACGGCTCCCTGTATAACATCTGCGTATTTAGCTGATTGCCTGGAGTTCAGTTTGTGTACAGGGCAGAGCTGCTGCAGACGTGAGGGTTATGCTGGCAGCAGCAAAAGGGTTAACCACCTGCGGTCCGGCCATTGTAATTAAACGGCTGGGCGGGTCACTCCTGATGGCGGGTATGCATTCAGTCTTTTGCAGTCTAACGCCGTCTGGTCGAAATCTACAACCTGCAAGTACCCGGCAGTGAGGTAGTTGGAGATCTCGACGAGTTGGAGCTTTCGATAGAACACCGTTATTCGCCGCCAGCGCTCTTATAACTGATGGCGCCATAAAGGGCAGTGTCCCGGAAAAACATCCCCGGATCTTATAATTCCCCTCTTGCAAGCTTTCTCACCAGAACGGGCGGCGTAAATCTCCGGTGACACCGCTGAGCACCTGCCAAATGCTCCGGCGGTTTTATCTGCTCTTCTGGCCTGCGGATTGTTGTCGCGGCGGAGCAGGTGTCCGAGCGCCGCTCCGCTTTCTGCGTTTAATGGCTTATTTTACCACAACAGACGCGGATCCTGCAAACCTAATCTCAGCCTATTAATCATGTTTATTTTACGGAGCCACCTGGCGCGGTAGAGAGCCAGCGGACTTAAGGAGGTCTAATCAGAGAATGTTCGGGGGCGTGGCGGGGGGGGGTGGGGCTTTGGGGATATCTTATTTGCTGTTGAAGGCCCTTTGTTATGGATATGCATGATAATTGCAATTATAAACAGTAAGGATTGTGGTCATTCGCTTTAAATCCCAGAAACTGTCCTAACAAAGTCCATTTACATGGATGGCTCGCCTTGTATCTGTTACAACCATTTTGCTTTGTGGCTACACAGTCCAATAAGCACCCGAAAAGACCCAGTGCACTTAGTAATCAGCACTCTGTAATTCACATGGACCATGTTTGACACACCCCTTTTATGGTATGACTCACCCCCCTCCCCTGCTCAGCTGCATAAGTCTGTGTGAGGACATTTATGCTGGGGGTGTGGCTGCTACTCTGCTCTGCCAGCAGACAACACTGCAGGGTGAGAGCAGGAAGAAGCATTTTTATTGAGGAATAAGTCCTCATTCACACAGGAATCGGCCCGCACGTACAGATCCGAGCTGCGTGCGGGGCCGTATCGGGCAGCTCCCGGGAAGGACAGGTGCTGCGTGTGATTAGTACGCAGATCCGTCCTTCTCTATCGGATGATACAGCAGTCTAAAAGCGACCAGCAGCAGGACATTTTAAAACAGCAAGACTAGGCCCAAATTTACTAGAGACAAAGAGTAGAGACTGTGGCTATACTACAAGAATTAAGACACTGCAGATGATACAGCAGTGTAAACTTGGCCATCAGCGGTACATTTAAAATAGCAACGCTAGGCCCAAATTTGCTAGAGACAAAGAGTTCAGACTGTGGCTCTACTACAGGAATACTGCAGATGATAGAGCAGTGTAAAGTTGGCTAGCAAAACACATTTTAAATAGCAAAACTATGCCCAAAAATTACCAGAGACAAGGAGCTCAGGATGAGGCTTTCCTATGAGGACTAAGATCCTGCACGGGATACAGCAGTGTAAAATTGGGCATTAGCTGGATGTCTTTAATCCAGGATAATAGACCTAACAAGGGGCGTAACTAGAAATCACAGGGCCCCATAGCAAAATTTTGTATGTGGCCCTGTGATTTCTAGTTACAGCCCTTAAAGAGCCCACTTGAGATCCCACACAGCCCACCTGGGGGTGACCCTGCAGAGCCCACTATAGACTTTCTATGGTGGGCTCTGCAGGGTCTCAGGTGGGCTGGTCACACTCCTTACTTGTCCGCCTTCTTCTCTCCACAGTCGCTGATGGGCCCCGCCTCCTCCTCCATCGCCAGGCCTGCCTCCTCCTCCGCAATCGACCCCGGGCCGTCTCCTTCACTGCCGGGTCCAGCCTCCTCCACCGCCGCTGCTGGCTCTCACTGACCCAGCAGCGGCTGTGGAGAGGAACGCACCGATGTTAGTGATCTGGACAGCGGCGCGTTCCACTTCACAGCCGCCAGTGGCAGCAAGCAGCATGAGATGCCATAGCGACCCAAGCGGGCCCGCACATGGCATCAGGGATGTCCTGGCCGGGCCCCCCTGTGCCCCGGGCCCCATAGCGGCCGCCTGGGTCGCTATGGCAATTGTTACGCCACTGGACCGAGGCCTAACTTTCATCTCATCTATGGAGATATGGTGCGATGAATGCAACAAAAAAAAAAGCAGCACAGGGGTTGATTGCCTGAAG